GTGTTGTGCGGGTGAGGGAGTGGTGGTGGAGGGCCAGGATTCGGGGAGATGTCTCCCGCGGTTAGGAGGAGGAGAAGGGTGAGAAAGGTGGCATGGGAGCGGGATGTGCAGGAGCGTGAGAAAACTACTAGTGGAGGTGTTCGGGGTCAGTGGGAGAGTGGAGTAATAGGAGGAGGTGGTGGGTGCCGTTGAGGGGGTGAAGGAAGCAGTGAGGACACAATATACAATTGTTTGGGAGGGGCAGAGGGATATAGTGAATGGATTTTGGGAATGGAGGAGAGGAAAATGAGAAGGAGGAGGAGGAAGAGGCATTTTGGGGAGGTGATGAGAGCAATAGTAGGGAGATGATAGCAATGAGGGGGAGATGTACAAGTTTTGGGGTGGAGCAGAGGGGTAAAGAAATGAGATTTGGGAACAGAGGATAGTAATATGATAAGGAGAAGAGGGGCGTATTATATAAAGGTACACGGAGTGGGACTCAGGCATGTAAGAGATGTTTCCCGGGGTGTTTGCTTGCAGTCTGTCCAGCGTGCAGTAGAGTTTCTTGCTGTTGTTGTGTCTTCCTGCTGCTGAAGTTCTCCTGCTTTAGTTCAACTGCTGTGTTTAACTGCATCGCACTCCTTCAACGCAGCACTCGCTCAATGCAGCACCCCCATCAGAGACTGTGCCCCCCATCAGTGATCTCCCCCCATGAGCTGATCTATCTAAATTTATAGGGAGATGCTCAAATGAGCATTCAACTCCACCCCAATTAGAAGCTGATAAGGATCACATGAATAGTGGGGGATGTTTCATTGGGAACAGGCTACAGTCGTAAACCTGAGTGCAGCTGGAGGTGAGGAATGGTCAACATACACAAATATAAATACACCAATTTTTGTTCTGAATTTAACAGGAGTCAATGCGTTTTCCTAGTTAAGAGCGGAGATAGGAGATAGATGCATTTACCCAGAGGAAAGCAGCAGGAGTCAATGCGTTTTTTCTAGTTAAGAGCAAGATAAGATAGATGCATTTACCCAGAGGAAAGCAGCAGGAGTCAATGCGTTTTTCTAGTAGGGGCCAGAAGAGAACTAGGGGGAAATGAGGAAATAGAATTTGTTTCCCTAAAACTTGCTTAGCTTATGTATATATTGCTGACCATCAGATTTACAGTGCTATATTTTTTTTTACATAATTTGGACAACCCCTTTAAGGTTTTTTTTGGCATTTTATATCTTAAATGCACTTATGTGAATTAATTAATAGTAATTTGGACTTTAAATTTGGTTAAAAACCCATAATATAAAAAAAAAAAAAAAAAAAAATTTTTTTTTTTTTATAAATTTGAAGACAATTTTGCATTTTGTGGCAAATCATGACGTCTAAGAGTTTTTTCAATATTTTATTTGTTTTCAATATTTTTTTATTTGTTTTCAGCACACCAAAATACATGGAAATTAGATGAAAATAATCAAACAGCTTTTTAGTCGCAGACCTGTGTTATAAGTAAGACACACAACAAGTAAAGCCCAACTTCAGCTAACGCTTCTACAGCAGTTACAGCAACAGGTTCTCTATAAGGTCCAACCCCCCATATGAATGACAACTGACAGTTGTGAGCACCCCCAGCAGTGTTATAGGATTTGCCCCAACCCCTCCAACTGCCATTTTTCCCAAAAGACTTAGTCTTCTACAGGAAGTAGACAAAAAAAAAAACAATCTACTGGGAGGGACAACAAAAAAAATAAAACAATAGGAGACTCAGAAAAACAAAACCTGCTCTGCTAATGACAGATTTCATTATTAATGTCATTAGTGATTTTGCCCATAGTTACACTTTGGTGCCAACGTTGTAATATTTCCAGGGAGAAGAAGTTTTCTTTACAAACTTTACACCAAAAAGATGTGTGCACTCAGAGTGATTATTGTGAACCCCAATCAGAGGAATGTCAGTCCCCCGGAAGAAGTGGTAGGAATATGACCGCACACTCAGCACTTTGTAAGTTCAGATCTCTGGCAGTTGTATTGTGTGATTAGTCTATGGAGAGGAGTAATAGCTGGAAAGAGAAAACATGGAACAAGGATTTCTGATCTTCACCTGATGGAATCCCATTTGGCAGAACCACATGGAACACAAGTGGCCAGCTGGGCTTACGTTTTACTGCTGAATACATCCCCTAAATCAGCAGTAACTCAGTATTGGAAGGCCTGCATCAGCTTGGGATGTTGTTTTCTCACTGAACAGAGACTTCTTTCTAGCTGGTGTCACAGACACGCAGACCTGCCTGAAAGGTTGTCACCCATGAGATGATATCCTACAACCTCACAAACACCCCCTTTCCTCTCTATGATCACAATCTCATCACCTTCACAGTCTCCTCATCTTCAAACACTTATCCCTCCAATCAGCAATCACCTGCAGAAACCTTCACAACTTGAACCCTTCTCCTTTCCACTCTGCAACTGACCAACTCTATGACAGAATCTCTCCCCTGTCCTGCCCTGACCTGGCCACTGCTGTCTACAACAGTTCACTTTCATCCACATTAGACTCACTTGCTCCTCTAACATGAAGCATCAGGCCCCGACCATTACAACCTTGGCAGACTGACAACACCAGAGATCTTAAACGACATAGTCGTGTGCTGGAGCGAATGTGGCGTAAAACCAAATCTCACCAAGCATTCACCCGATATAAATCTGCTTTCTTCACATACAATTCCTCCCTCCATGCTGCCAGACAAGCCTACTTTGTCACTCTCATCAATAGCTTGTCATCCAGTCCTCGTCGTCTCTTCTCTACTTCTAACTCTCAACTTTCTCCACCTCCACCCAGTACCTCACTCACTGCTCACGAGATTGCAAATCATTTCAAAAACAAGATTGATGCAATTCATAGGGGCATCTCCACTGCACAGACATCCATCCCACTTAGCATACCTTATACTAAACCTCCCTCAACACTTTCCTCTTTTGACCTTGCTACTACCGAAGAGGTCACTAAGGTTTCTCAGAAGCCCGTCTCACTACCTGCCCCCTGGATCCTGTCCCCTCACACTACTACTACGTCACCCTCTTCTTCCATCCTATGCTCCCTCACCCACATCTTCAATCTCTCCCTCTCTACTGGTGCCTTCCCCTCCCCTCTAAAGCATGCGCACATCACTCCCATACTTAAAAAAAAAAATCCCTGGACCCCACCAACCTGAACAACTTAAGACCCATCTCCCTGCTCTCGTTTACTTTTAAACTCTTAGAACGCTTAGTCTACAATTGCCTGAGCTCCCCCACCTCACCGACAACAACCTTCTTGACCCTTTACAGTCTGGCTTTCGCTCACTACACTCCACTGAAACTGCCCTACTAAAACTCACTAATGATCTAAACTGCTAAAAACCAATGGCCACTACTCCGTACTCATCCCAACCAATGGCCACTACTCCGTACTCATCCCAACCAATGGCCACTACTCCGTACTCATCCCAACCAATGGCCACTACTCCGTACTCCTCCCAACCAATGGCCACTACTCCGTACTCATCCCAACCAATGGCCACTACTCCGTACTCATCCCAACCAATGGCCACTACTCCGTACTCATCCCAACCAATGGCCACTACTCCGTACTCATCCCAACCAAATGGCCACTACTCCCAACCAATGGCCACTACTCACTCCCAACCAATGGCCACTACTCCGTACTCATCCCAACCAATGGCCACTACTCCGTACTCATCCCAACCAATGGCCACTACTCCGTACTCATCCCAACCAATGGCCACTACTCCGTACTCATCCCAACCAATGGCCACTACTCCGTACTCATCCCAACCAATGGCCACTACTCCGTACTCATCCCAACCAATGGCCACTACTCCGTACTCATCCCAACCAATGGCCTACTCCGTACTCATCCCAGCCAATGATACTCTCCGTACTCATCCCAGCCAATGGCCACTGTACTCATCCCAACCAATGGCCACTACTCCGTACTCATCCCAACCAATGGCCACTCCGTACTCATCCCAACCAATGGCCACTACTCCGTACTCATCCCAACCAATGGCCACTACTCCGTACTCATCCCAACCAATGGCCACTACTCCGTACTCATCCCAACCAATGGCCACTACTCCATACTCTTACTACTTGACCTCTCTGCAGCTTTTGATATGGTTGACCAACCCCTTCTCCTCAAAAAAACTCCACTCAGTTGGCCTCCAAGACTCTGAACAAGCTCTGCAATAGGTAGGAGAACCAGGAGAGAGCAGAGTTAACTATAACTCTGCCTCCTCCTCTCCACTCCCTCTTTCCATAGGGGTACCTCAAGGTTCCATTCTTGGACCCCTACTCTTCTACATCTACACCTCTCCTCCCCTACTGCCATGGTTTTAAGTACCATCTCTATGCTGATGACACACAAATCTATCTTTCTACTCCTCACCTCACCCCTTCAGTCTCCCCTCACCTCGCCCCTTCAGTCTCCTCTCGCATTACTAACCTACTAAGCGACATATCGGAATGGATGTCACTCCACTTCCTCCAACTCAATCTTAACAAAACTGAGCTCTTAGTATTCCCCCCAGCCTGTGCCCCCTCCCTGACTTCTCCATCAAGACCAATAACACAACCATCAGTCCCTCCCCTCATCAAAAAATGTCAAAAGATAAAATATTCAAATCCCTTCTAGTTGTGTGCTTGATGGACATAAGCACTAAACTCAGTTCATCCAATCATTACATTCCAGTTTGCTCACAGATTTTAGTTTGTTTCTTTTAAAGTAACATTTTATCTTTTCCCTTCTTCTCTAGCTTGTGGGATGACATTGGGGATGTGAAACAAACCTGTGACACCTGAAACTTCTTTAATATTCCTTTTCCTCCAGAATTTAATCAATGCAGAAATTTATGAAACCTCCGGTGATAGATTAGACCGACATTAACTGTAAAACTTTGTCACATTGAGAGCATTAAAATGGCTTCTCTCCAGTGTGAATCCTCTGGTGTTTGATAAGATATGACTTATGTAAAAAGCTTTATCACATTCAGAACACTGATATGGCTTCTCTCCAGTGTGAATCCTCTGGTGTCTGATAAGATTTGACTTCCTGTAAAAGCTTTATCACATTCAGAACACTGATATGGCTTCTCTCCAGTGTGAATCCTCTGGTGTGTGATAAAGATTTGACTTCTGAGTAAAAGCTTTATCACATTCAGAACACTGATATGGCTTCTCTCCAGTGTGAATCCTCTCTGGTGTGATAAGATTTGACTTCCACAGTGTAAAGCTTTATCACATTCAGAACACTGATATGGCTTCTCTCCAGTGTGAATCCTCTGGTGTCTGACAAAATTTGACTTCTTTATAAAAGCTTTGTCACATTCAGAACACTGATATGGCTTCTCTCCAGTGTGAATCCTCTGGTGTGTAGATGTGATTTGATATATTTTATCACATTCAGAACACTGATATTTCTCTCCAGTATGAATCCTCTGATGTCTGAACTTCTTTATAAAAGCTTTGTCACATTCAGAACACTGATATGGCTTCTCTCCAGTGTGAACCTTCTGGTGTGTGAAGATACTTCTCTCCATTGCTTTATCACAAATAGAACAAGTAGTTTGAAATGACTTCTCTCCATGTGATAATCCTTTGGTGTTGGATTTATTGACTTCTGTGTAAAAGCCATTTATCACTTCAGAACACTGAAATTACTTCTCTCCTGCTGGATCAATGTGGAAGAGGATCCAAACCATGACTTTTAGAACAGAACACTGATATGACTTGTATCCCCTTGTGAATCCTCTGGTGTGAGATGCAATTTTTCAGTCAAAATAAGACATCCATATGTCTTGTTTTCCATGTGACTCAGCTGTATTCATGAAGATAACATGACTTCCAGAAAACTTGAAATTACTTCATCAATCCTGCTGTACAATGTGGAAGAGGAAAAAACCATGACGACTTTTAGAACACATATATGACTTGTATCCCGTGTGAATCCTCCAGTGAACTGCATAAAGACTTTCAGTCAATTAAGACTATTTTTGTTTTCATTACTCAGCTATATATTCTGAATAGAAAGAAAATGTGTCAGCATTATCTACAGTAAAAAAAAAAAAATTTTAAATCAAATACATAAAGTTGCTTTCTTTTTTAATGTTCATTACTAAAGTTTCTAAGTGCATTATCACAGTATTTTTTTTAATCAAATATTTTATTAAGAAAGTTTATAAGTGCCAGTATTCCCAACATTCAGCCCAGACAATGGAGTCATACATTCTCACGTATAGGCAGTTGTGGCACTGTTACAGATCATACAGAACAATAACTTGCTTTGTCTATGGTGTCACTTTTACCTTTTATAAACAAATGAACAGAGAAAAGAAGAAACAGCCTAGAACAATTCAGCTGTACACGGCAAGTAACTCCCCCCAGTACATACAGTTGTGTTCAAAATAATAGCAGTGTGTTGGAAAAAGTGACTAAAGCTGAAAATCCTTCTAATAGCTTTTATTTCCATCCACACAAATGCATTGGGAACACGACACATTCTATTCCAAATCACAACATGAAGAAAAAATACATCAAATTTGTGTTGTTCCTCTAAAAAAAAAATGGAAGAAAAGTGAATATTAGACGGTTCAAAAAAAAAAAAAAAAAAAATCGCAGTGTTTGTATTCTTCTTTACAAACTCAAACATTCACTATATAAACTGAGAAATGTTTGAAGATTTTGCTTTCCTTTGAATGACTTCATGAATATTTGGTTGTAGTCGCACTGTTTCTGAGAACTGCTGTACATCTGTGTTGCATGGAGTCCCCCAACTTCTGGCCCCTGTGATCAGGTATTCCAGCCCAGGATGATTGGACCACATTCCACAGTTCTTCTCTATTTCTTGGTTTTGCCTCAGAAACTGGCATTTTTGATGTCACCCCACAAGTTTTCTATTGGATGAAGATCCGGGGATTGGGCTGGCCACTCCATAACGTCCATCTTGTTGGTCTGGAACCAAGATGTTGCACGTTTACTGGTGTGTTTGGGGTCGTTGTCTTGTTGGAACACCCATTTCAAGGGCATTTCCTCTTCAGCATAAGGCAGCATGACCTCTTCAAGTATTCTGATGGATTCAAACTGATCCATGATCCCTGGTATGCGATAAATAGGCCCAACACCGTAGTATGAGAAACATCCCCATATCATGATGCTTGCACCACCATGCTTCACGGTCTTCACAGTGTACTGTGGCTTGAATTCAGTGTTTGGGGGTCGTCTGACTGAAAACTGTCTCCGCCCACTAGACCCAAAAAGAACAATCTACTTTCATCAGTCCACAAAATGTTGCGTCATTTCTCTTTAGGCCAGTCAATGTGCTCTTTGGCAGATTGTAACCTCTTCAGCACACGTCTTTTTCCCAACAGTGGGACTTTGCGGGGACTTCTTGCAGATAGCTTGGCTTCACATCGGCGTCTTCTAATTGTAACAGTCCTCACAGGGAACGTCACACCTTCTTTCATCTTCCTGGAGCTGATTGTTGGCTGAGTCCGCCCCATTTTGGCTATTCTTCTATCCATTCCAATGGTAGTTTTTTTCTTTCTTCCTCGTCTTTCAGGTTTTGGTTGCCATTTTAAAGCATTTGCAATCTTTTTAGCTGAGCAGCCGATCATTTTCTGCACTTCTTTATATGTTTTCCCCTCTCCAATCAACTTTTTAATCAAGGTACGCTGTTCTTCTGAACAATGTCTGGAACGACCCATTTTCCTCAGAATTTCAGAGAGAAATGCACTGTAACCAGCATGTCCAACATTTGCTGCCTTCCTTCCTTAAATAAGGGCAATAATTGCCACCTGTTTTTCAAAGAATGAATGACCTCACTAATAGAACTCCACACTGCTATTATTTTGAACACGCCCCTTTCAATGAGTGATTCAATGACACAGAATCAGCAGCATGCATGTCATGACTGTTGGGTCTGTTGGATTTCTATGACTCTACTACACCTGCTAGGAAATTATTTGCCATGTAGAAATGTAATTTCTACCAAAAACTGTGATTGATCCGGTTAGTGATGTCTGACTGCTATTATTTTGAACACAACTAACTGTACATAGATAGCTGACACCATTCAATGAGGCCTGTGTCTACAGGATCATTCCCCAAGTATGGGTCTCCAATGTAGTCACCATTCAGTAGGATACAACTGGCCGTTCTCCTTCTATGGGGCTAAAAGAGCTAAGATTTTAAAAGCCTATGAAGAACTAACTAAGAGAGAGCAAGGAGTATCCAGCCAGTTCTGCCAGACATACATCTCCTGGGGGAATTACAATGTTGGTAAGTTAGTTTTTTTCACATGTTAATGTGGAGATCACCTGCTCAATCCACTGTGTCTGCTGGGAGTTTGAGATGATAGCCAAGATCGGGATATTTTTTATGGTCAAGCAGCCTCACTATTGCTATATGACTTGTAATAGGGGAGGTGTAAATAATTCCTCCTCTATTGAGACCAAGAGCACACCCGAGGAATATTGAACACCAACATTACAATACTGGTCATATCGTTCCACTTTTTGAATAATTTTGGACATCTCCAAAACATGTATCAAATCCCCGACAACACCGCTACAATTGGGCATAAGGGGAAATCCCTCCTGTCCTAGCTGAACAATTGAGCTGGAGTCCTGAAAGCTCTATGCAAAAGAAATGACTGAGTTTCTGTGAAGAGGACAGAGAGATGAGAGGTATGGAGGTCACAATCACCTCCCACCACTCTCTCTTATTTTCTCTGTTTCCCATTTCTTTCTATAAGTCTTCGGTAAGAGTCAAAAGACTGGAATAAATATATGAGAGATCATGCCTTTCCCACTGGTGCCATCTGAAGCCCATTAACAAGTGTGAGAGTGATGTGAAATCTGTATCTGATGGAAGTAGCAACCGATGGATGGGATCTAATGTGTCTACTAAGTCCCACCTGGTAAGATGTTGAAGTTGGGCAGCTATAATATAAAGTCTAACATTTGGTATTGCTAGGCCTCCTTGGTCTTCACCATACTGTAGAGTAGTGAGTTTTGATTCTAGCTGACGGCTTCTTCTAAATGAGTTCCCCAAACTGGGAGTCTATACTGGAGAACCACTTACGAGGTGTCCACATGGGAGAATTGTGGAGTATATAGAGGAATTGTGGGGTCCATATCTTCTCTTGTTCATAGATTTTATTGGAAAGAGATAATAGTTTTACAAGGAGCTGATAACAATGTGATTGCAGGACTCACCAACAGTAAGTCAGAAGGGGTACAACCCTTAGAGGTAACGTACAGGTTGTAATTTGTACAGTACAAATAATATCTTCATACATTAAAGTGGAGTTCCAGTGAAAATAAAAAAAAATAAAAGTCAGCAGCTACAAAAACTGTAGCTGCTGACTTTTAAAAGACGGGCACTTACCTGTCCCTCGATCTCGTGGTGTCCTCCCCACAGCCCGTTTCACCGGCCGCCCTGTGTTTCCAGTGCCGGCATCTTCAGTGTGGGCACCCAGCTGTGACAGCTTGCGGCTTCACATCCGGGTGCCCACTGAGCATGTGCGAGTATCTCTGTGCTTTGTGAATGGTCCTGTAGTCTTCTAGGACCTTTCATGTGTCCCAGAAACTACAGGGAGGGAGGGGGGGGAGGACAACTTCCGCTTCTGATCACCTAGGTGATTGCAGCAGAAGTGGGAGCGGGTACCTGTCAATTTCGGTAATCCCCCCAAAAGGTGCCAGTGGGGTCCTTAACCACTTGCCTACCAGGCACTTATACCCCCTTCCTTACCAGGCCAATTTTTTCAGCGTTGTCGCACTTTAAATGACAATTGCGCGGTCATGCAATATTGTACTCATATGAAATTTTTATCATTTTTTTCACACAAATAGAGCTTTCTTTTGGTGGTATTTACTCCCCGCTGGCTGTTTTATTTTTAGTACTATAAACAAAAAAAGAGCAAAACATTTGAAAAAAAAGTTCTTTGTTTCTATTATAAAATTTTGCAAACAGGTAATTTTTCTCCTTCACTGATGTGCGTTGATGAGGCTGCACTGATAGGCACTGATACTGATGGGCACTGATAGGCGGCACTGATTACACGGATTAGAGACTAACCGTTTTTATATTTCACGTATGCACTTTGAAACGCCAACTTGGGACGTTTATCACATCTATACTCCACCATACGCCTCAGTGCGTGTATTTATTTATGTCACTATAATTGATATGGAGATCATAGTTGGTCACTTTTATATTATCCATTGTATCTACATACATTTCATTCATGATATTTATGATTTTACATTTTTTTCATACCTTTAGCGCTGCATGTGTTTTATTTATTATTGATTAGAGGGTTTTGAGGTTCTTACCTTTCATGCCAGCTGCTCCATTTCTATGTTTATCCAGCGCTCATTTTATCTTATTGGATGAGGCAGCACTGATGAGCTGGCATGATGGGTACTGATAGTCACTGATAGGCAGCACTGGTGGGCACTGACTGGTGGCACTGTTAGGCGGCACTGATGATGGGTACTGATGATGGGTACCACATGTGAAGGTGGGTAACTGCTTCAGAGCAGCCATGGAAACAAGTCAGGGATTAGTATGGAATGAATGCAGTAATCTGGGCAGGGACCAGGTACCTGAGGGGAGAGGTCTTTGCTATAGGCAGCACTGGTCACACATATATATATTAGGGCATCAACTCTTGTCGGCTTCAGCTCTGAGGAAAGGGACACGTCCCCGAAATGCATCAGCAGGCTGACCGCACCACCAGTCGGACACGAGTTTTTCCCTTAGTCTGATATGAAATGCTGGCACATTTTGTCCCTGATATTAGACAATTAGCCCGGTGAGTGTATACACACATCGGCAGATCTCAATCAATGTCACCACCCCTAGGTATATACACTGGTCACGGGTGTTTGGGCAGCCCAATCATGTGGCTCCAAATTCTGTCGCCCAAACAGCCCAAAGGTTTTCCGGTCTCCTCCTAGTAATAAACCATGTGATCTCCCTGAGAATTAAAAGGCCCCTTTTTTGTCCCTTTTCCCCTCCCCCACGCAGGTTTTACACCCCCTTTATGGGCCCCGGCCCCTTTATGTAACTGAAATTGGCGGGGCGTTTCAACGCTGCACCCAAACTAAAAATCCGTCCTTTCTTTAAAAATAGAGTTTTTGTCGGTGGGGGTGTCATCACCTTTTCCCCGCTTTTTAAAATTTTTACGCAATAAACAAAAGGAAAACCGGGAAAATTTGGGAAAAAACAATTTTTTGTTTTTGCTTTAAAATATATTTAAAATAAACCAAAATTTTGTTAAAAAATTTCACCAAAAATGCTCGCTCCATGTTTATGGAAAAAAGGCCCCTAAGTGGATATTGAATTTCTTTGTGTGACCCTTATAGGGCTGCGGGCTATGGGGAGATCATGGGGAATTTTATGACTTTTTTTTTCTAAAAC